ATCTTCGAGTGGAAAAAATGGCGCTTGTGTCAATGATCTCCTATTTTTGTAATATTTTTTGATAAATTAATAGCCATTTTCCTATTCATTAATGAGGAAGATTGTAATTAGAAAATATCATGTTATCTGCGGGATATAGCTGTTTATCCGTCTAGGAAAAGAAGAAAAAAAAACATTTTTTATATTTTTGCCAAGGCTGTTTATCCATCTATGAGTGGAAAAAATGGTGCTTGTGTGTGTTAATGATCTCCTATTTTTTGTTAAATTTTTGATAAATTAGTGGCCATTTTCCTATTGATTCATGAGGAAGACTGTAATTAGAAAATCTGTTTTTGTTATCTGCGGGATATAGCTGTTTATCCGTCTGGGAGAAGAAGATAAAAAAACATTTTTATATTTTTGTTGTATTTTTGATAAAAAGATGTCATTCAACTTATTCATGTGAAAGGTCACAATTAGAAAATATTTTAGATACAACTGTAGTTTGAACAACATCCATTTACTTAAGTAGAGCCGCCAATCTTTGAGTGGACAGAACCGAATCTGTTTATCCATTTCTATATTTGAATGAAAACAATTTCAACCAGTAGAGAACTGTCATCAAAGGCACTAGGCATGACATAACACTTGAGGCGAGAATCGTTATTTTCATATTTAACCCAGTTTTTCTGTTCTTTAACCTTTTAAGGTGTGACCATGAAAATATTTTAATATACTTAAATACTTTGTGAAATAATCCTTTTTCACACAAGATAATAGCATATATTCACCCCATTTCCTAAATTTTCCAGCGGCAATTTTTACGTACTGGCGGAGCATCCGGGATGATGCCATAAGAAGGAAGAATGGAAAACTTCAGGAGCACAGGATCATGACAAGACGCCTACTGAAAGTGAGATGGGTGGGCTACTTTCACAATAAAAATCATAGTTTAATTACAGTAACTAGAAAACTAAAAATTGACGTACACTGTATTCTTATATTTAAGGGACTACGACAACAGGATTTCGTGGGTTATTGGTCAAAATTATGTTAAAATCACTGGTCCAAAGAAAAATTTAAAATCCTTTCTTAAGGAGAAACAAACTATTGCCAAGAAATATCTATTTTCCAAGACACGCGGAGAGAGCTTGAAAAAAAATGAGCCAAATGTTTAAAATTGCAATTCATTTCCATTGTGGCCATCCTGAACAAGACAGTCGTTAACAGTTTTAGCTTACTATTACAGACGGCAATTGTTAACAAAAACGGGCCATTATATTTAGTTTTCCCTCCACACCAATTGCAATATGTGATTTGGCTTTCCAAAGGGATGATTCAAATCATGACATATATCTACCACTTTCAACGCCAGTTTTCACAAGCGTCGGAGTCGTGGTGGTGCAAAGGCCGAACGTTCATCTAGTCCGTTACAAACTCTGCTTACGATCTAGCAAAAAACTGCATTACATTGTCGAAGTTGCAAGTAAAAGCGGAATAACTAATTAAACCAGTAACAATGCATGATATTCCTTTGTTCTTGGTCTTCAGACATTGGCATATCGTCAAGAAATGGTGGAAAAATCCACTCTCTCCCCACAGGACAAAGTAAAAAATAAGTGCACTCTAACAGTTGGAAAATGCCGTGGAGTTTATGTCCTCAGAGGAAAGCGAGGAAAGAGAAGCAGAAGAAACATTGAGTGGCCCACCAGGAAGGCACATCAAATCACTTCGGTGGGAGAGAACTAGGTTAAGGAACATTAAGGTTGTCCTGGATGCCAACTATCAGGCTCGCATGAGAAAAAGGAAAAAAAGGACAGCAGCTAAACTTTCTAGAATAGCTGACCAAAATATGTCAGATAGGCCACTCCTAAAAAACTGTCCTTCTTGGGCAGGGCGCGTGGTCAATGGCATAATTTGATTTTGCATAGAAATTAAGGTGGCTCCTTATGGCGGAGAATCTCATGAACCAAAATTGCAAGACAAGTCTTAATGCCCAATCGGACTCAATTCGAGGAAAACTTTTCGTGTGACTTTGCATACTTCATAAATGGCGTCAAGATGACAAGGAAACGTTGATTTTATTCGCGTTATTTTTTACTTGTTTCTCTATATCTAAACCTTTGCTTATAAGTCGAGGAAGGCTTTGTTTATACACTTGGGAGCCACCTTAAATATTTTTTTATCACTCTGTCTTTGACATATTACCTAGAATATCCTGTTACTGCTTATGGATCCCGTTTTGATAATTTTGTTACAGCTGTGAGTTGATGATTATTTTTTAATGCTACAAGGACCTAACATCATCACTAGTTACAGTAAATCAAAAAGAGGTTAAAATTGTCTTTTGACCTTTGTTCCTTGCAGCTCAACATTGGGCAGAAACGGTAATTCATAGACCTAGGTAAAATGTCAAACACAGGATCAAAGATTTCAATTTGAGCAGATTGGCCGCTGTCGATCGACGTGCGTCAAATACTAAACATGAATTTTATTGGCTTCCAAAAAAAACATTTCTTTGACACTTAACTACACGAAACAAACAGTTTTACATTGTATTTCTGTTCGACAATTGCGACCAAAACAAACTTTTGAAGAAATGAAATATGGTCCGCTAAACTGACCAATGAAAGTGAGCATACTGAGAGATATTCTTTATGATAATGAAATGTACTAACTTAGCAGCAGTTTTTGCTTTAAAATGTTACTCTCACTACATATGTACACACATTTACAATCAGATGTGACATACGGTATATATAATATGACTTACGAAATTCCTAGTTACTAAATTCTCTTTAATTAATTGTGAAAATACATAACTTCTTGTGAGACGGGGGAACAATGACAATGCTTTATTTACTGCATAAGAGAATATTTTGTTACAATCACTAAAAAAAACAACAGAAGAAATCGAAGAGTACAAAATAATACACTACTAGGTTTACAATACAATGTCAATTATCGGCATATAATTTCCATTACAGTAAATAATCTAAATTCTCTGTAGTACTTACACTAGACACACTAGTTTTCTAACAATAATTTTACTTAGAGTGATTTTACTTAACCCGTGAAACAGTATCTAGCAAGTAGTGACAAGTAGTTACGAGTAAACAAAAGACAACAATCAAATTAGAGTATCATACTACGTAGTAGTCTACTATCTATTTCACGGGTTAAGTAACATCACTCTACAATATTAAAATACTTTAATTTATAGTATCTAGATTACATATTTGCTACTGTGTATGTTTTAAAGGGACTGGTTCACGATAATGCGCATGTGTGAGTTCTGACAGTAGCTGATTGTTTTTCAACCAATCGGAAGCGAGTTAGATGCACGCAAGTAAGTTTACAAAATTCAAATTAATTGTTCGCGACGCGAGAGTATTTCCGGGCATTTGGTTTGATTTTATTTATCCCCATAATTCAATTTTATTCTTTGCTACTCCTCAGATATATGTTGCAGCCGATAAGAATAAGATTTACAGCCCTGTCCTGCTTTGAAACAAACATTTACCAACGTGTATTTTTACGAGGTCGTACCCACGCTAACAAAACAGTCACCGATCGGCAAACAAAATTTGTAAACAAACATCTTATTACTGTTCTCTCAGTTCGCCTTATATAAACCCAGAAATACCTACAAATAGCGCCGGACCGGTGACAAAAACACACAACGTATGAGTATAAAGATTATCCTTAATTGAGCATAAATTTCAATTGCTTATCAGCAAATGAACAAATTCATTCGCGTTGCACCGGGTCAGTGTTCCGCAAAACAAATGTTATCGAGTAGCACACATAAAGAAACTAGATTATGAACAGAATATTCAGGGAATAATTTATTTTAAAAACATCAATTCTTAAACATATACGATCGTAAAGCAAAGATACAAGGAACATTTCAAGTCTACCAGATCGGTGAAGATCGTGCGACCTGTTGCGGTATAAGTACAGGTCGGAGTCAAAAATCAAATCAAAGTTGAACGAACTCATGCCTTTAACCACTTTCCAAGTGTCGTGTATTCTTTTCGTATGCCACACACTACTCCTAGAACCATACCAGATCGATAGGCTAAGCTTCTCTATCTCCAGAGACTCTTGAAAACGTCCTGTTGCCGGACGGCCACGATGCTCTTCTCAACCTCCATGATCAAAACATTATTTTTTGCGTCTTCTTAAAACGTAACCAGTCAAACGACACAACCACACGTTAATCACCACTACCGAAGTATAACTAGACCAGCCAAAGCTACGGATGTCCGAATAAAACGAAGGATTTTCAATGATTGTACCGGTAATGGCGATTTCGAATTTAGTGTTGGCCCAACAAATTTATTCTGAAGAGACAAACGGCGCGCATGCGCATTATCGTGAACCAGTCCCTTAATTAAAGAAGTTGTATAAATTCGAGTTAAAGTATCTGTCAGATCGCTGCAGGTACCATGCATGTTGCGTGCATTTTGGTATAAGTCCGGCCCGGGAGAAGTATTGATTATAAGCTGTGGAAGCAAGGGCAGATTGTGTTGTAGGGAAAAATGAATGTATCCCATCACAAACCTCCCAAAGTTTTCTAACTTCCATATTCATTCAGGAAATAACGTTATGGATCGTGTGCTAACACTGCCTGATTGTGGAAACCTCAACCTATATCCAATCGAGCGTTATCTATACATTTCCGCACTTCCAAATTTAGGAAACCCTATAGATAATCGTGTGTCCGCCAAATTTACGAGCTGCGCAAAACATAACGGCCTTTTGAGATTACGCAGAAAAGTAAACCTTGCGGATACGCGAGTTTAAAAGATGCGTTTCCGCGCAACCGCAGTAACGGAAACGTAACGTATACCCGTATTTCCCGCAAAGGAAAGTTGAATTTCCGTTTGCGGAAATTCACGTTTCCGTTAAGTAATCGCTATAAAAACGGAAACGGAAACGCCTTATTTCATCCTGTGGGTGTAACTGTATCGGGAAGTTAGAATTAACAATTTAACGCGCATACGTAAGCATTCTTTTTAGGTCCACCTGTACAGAGTGCTGTTATCTCCTGAATTAGCAACAGCCAGGTAAGCATGACCCTTGTATTCAAATGTCGTCATATCAATGGCGCCAGAGGTTGAAATCTCTTGATATTTAATGAACCGGCCATTAGAGAATCGATACAGCGAGGATTTTGTGCTGGACCGATCAGTTACCCCCAGAAACGTTTGACCACATCGGACAAATGAATGCGAACGCCAGGTTGCAGGAGTAGTAATAGACTGAAATAACACAAACTTACTTCCATTCCACTCGTAAATAAACGAGTGAGTAGAGACAATGGCCAGGAACGCGTGATCATTGATATAAAAGAAATTTGCACCCATTGCTTTTTGGAGAGTCTGCAGTTTGAGGAAGCCTTTCCCTGACCACTTATAAACGACTGAGTTTCCGACAGAGTTAGCAAAAGCAACATAGCTTTCATTATTAATTTCAAACGCAACACTTTTACGACATCCCTTTGTTGCTATCTCCTGAAACTTTTCAAACCTTTGGTTTTTCCATTTGTAGATGATTGAGTTTATACTTTTTGTAACATCGTTCCGATAATTGGCTGCGGTAAGAAAGGGTTCTTTGTCTATCGTAAAAAAATTAAAGTCGATTGCTCCTAGCGTTGGAACGTTTTGAAAGAAAACAAACAATGTTCCATTCCAACGATAAATAACTGAGTTCAGTCTGCTCGTAATTCCATTATACCTATTAGCAACAGCAAGATAATGATCATCAGAAATTGTAAAATATTCTACCTCACGCCCTCCACTTGTACCTATGGTCTGGTAAAGGAAGAACTTTCCAGTTGAGTCGTTGAACTTGTAGAGGAATGAGTCTGTGTTGTGTTTTTCGGAGGTGTCGCTACGGAAGTTTGCGAAGGCGAGAAATAGATTTCCATGGATGGTGAAATGTTCCACGGCGTGAGCTCCTCTGGTTGGTAAATCTTGGTATTTTTCAAAGTAATAACCGGAACAACCTGGATAGAAAAACGAAAACATAAAATTCACGAGTACTCGAAATACCTACGCGGCAAAAATTCATGAAGAAAGTAGGCAGAAAAAAAAAAGAAAAAGAAATACTTAATTCGGCGAATTTGGCAAGATAGTTTTTCAGGGGGTTTTATTTTCTCGATTTCTACAGGCAAATATGAAAAAAGGCCATTAAATTTCGCGATTTAAGCGTTCTCAAGTTGATTTTATTTTAGATAAACTGGAACAAGCAATGTGTGAAATCTTTGCTATTAACGCTATTTCACAACTGAACATACAAAATGGAACTTTTAATTGCCAGTAAAACCAATCAACAATTTGTGGTGTTTGTTGAACATAATGTATATTTTGTTGCTAAATTGTTAATTTTTTTTGGCTTGTTTTGAATTTTCTACATGGGTTTTAACATTTCGCGTGGATTTATATTCGCGGCTCTTTAATTTCGCGATTTTTTTAGAATCGCTAAAATCGCGAAATTTAAAAGTACCAATCAGGTAGTATAATCCTTCACTTAAGAAGGGGGAAAGACGTCGAATTTATCATGAGACCATGCCACCTAAATTACGATTTGGGTGGACATTAAGTTCGACTTAAGGAGTCCTATTCACAAGCCTTATTCTTGGCTTTCTTGGCTCTTTTGGGTTCCCTTGCCTCATCTTCTTTTAAACTTTCTTCGTATATGTTTGTTTGAGTGGCAAAATGATAATAAACAATAATCAATAAACAGCTCATAAGGTGTGGTTACACACACACTTTTGTAAAAGGCATTTCTCCCCATAAAGAAAGCCATGGTATTACCAATCCCTTGGCAAAGGATCGGGTCATTTAGGGTGAAAAAAAAAAAAAGTGAATGGAACTACGTAGGCATCCCAGGGACTGTTGTAGGCCAATAGCCTCATTACTGCTACGGGTCATTTTTCATGCATTGCTACGTACAGTGTCTGTTATCTTGAATAATGTGGCGATCAACTGAAGAGGTCGTTTGACGAAACTAGTTTTGTGAATCGCTATATAAATTTAAAAGTCTGTTGAAAGTGGAAACAAATTAGTTTTTTTTCTTTAATTTTGTTTACTGAAACAATGTTAAGTAACACTTTCTTGGCTTCGGCAAACAATATTTCACAGAATTGATTCTAGTTTGTTTTTCAAGTTTAATTTATGTGATTAAGTTGGCAAATTACGGGTTCAGGAAGGACAGATTCTCACCAATACCGGCAGACTATCTAACAATTCGGGGAACTGAAAATCCACTGCCAATTTCAGTATTCACCTATTACTCTTCCTAGATAGAACTTTCCTCCTCCTGGGAAGTTAGCCAGCCGAAATTCCTTAGGAAAGAATGACGATAAAGTGGGCAACAAAACTAAGAAAGAGAACAAGAAAGAAGGATCGAAATAGATTTGCCGAAAAAGGTCTAATTTTTGGCTCAAGCGCACAGCAGGTACTAAAAAACAAAAACGAGATTGACTCGTTTACATCCCAAAAATATTTCCCATTTCCCATCCCATTTCGATTCTATGCTAATTTGTGGAAAACCAGTCCAACTACACTCTTTTTTTTATATGAATGTTGCTTTTCCGGCCCAGGCTGAATATTCTTATTTTTCTGCCGATTTTAGGCTGAAAATATTCTTGTATTATTCTTAAATTATAGCTTATGACATTTCTGTTTTAGAATTTATTGGGGTATATATATATGTATTACATGTACCGTTCATCAAACTGTCATTAGCGTTGAACATTTTGCTATAGCTAGTGCAGGTTTTTTCGTTTTGTTGGCTAGTTTCGCCGTTCAGAGAAAGGAATAATTTTATATCGTTAAGTTAAAAACTTAAAATTGTATTGTATTTACAGATGTTTCAACACACAAAATTATATCTATCCTTTTCAAATTCTCAGCCTTGGCTTTATTCTTAAAATATTCGTAAAATTTCGCAAATTTCAGCCTCGATATTCTTATAAAATATATTCTTATAAAAAAAAAAGAGTGTTTTAAGATTTTGTATTGCAAGGGTTAAACTTTGTTTACCGTAATCGCAGTCAGGACCATGGCAGGATCTTATGTTCAGTTGATAATTTTAATGCGTAATTTTGGCAAATTTCAATCTGGTATTTTAGTCCTGATAATTTGTCAAAGGCATATAGCTATTTGTTTTAGTCATGGCCTTAGATTTCATTGTTTGCATATCGTCTCGAATACGCGCATATTTTGGGTAAATATCGTTCCTACATCTGGCTCGACAAACTACTTAAAAATTCTCTCACAGAATAAAAAAATTGTACAACAAAGAAACAGAAAACAGCTTCGCCGGGAGTCGAACCTCGTTCATCTGCACGTGCAAGCAACTCCTTGACCACTGCACTATTGTGCCTCTTAGTTTTCGGTGAAGTGAGTTTGTTTTTTAAAAACCATTTTTCTCTGCCATAGACGCTGTTTGAAAAAAAAATAGCTTAAGCGCGTATAGCAAAGCTATTTCACATTATTATTTTGGGTTCAAAGGACCGATCGTTGTAGAAAATCAATCAAACAAGCTGTACTGAGTTTAGTGGAGAATTGAGAAATAAACAGAACCCCACACTCGAAGGGATTGATGAGAAGTACGGTCGATTTCATTAGCAAAGAAGATGTAGAATATAAACGTCTGTGACTTCTGAATCGAACCTCCTTCTCTGGAGACTAGACGTTGCCGATTTCATGCTCTTGCTGGTCCCGTAAACACGGCCCGCGACACAAATTTTAAAAACAAAATTACACAATTGCGGACGCAAAATACCAAGACGGTTTGCGCAAGCAGATACAACAAAGTTCACGCACTTATGATCTATTTGCCTAGCTTTTAATCTTTTCCCCAGCCTTTCTGGTTCGAATGACCATGGTGTCCCTTCCAAATTTGCGCAAGCAACCCGACTGGCACTCGCCCGTTAGTATGCCTCGCGTGTCTCCCTCGCGCGCGCCAGTTCTCTCTTTCACCCACTACTTCCAAGCGCCTGCTACGTAGGCTAGTGACGTCAAACTGGCAGTGATGAATCGGTCACAGACAAACACATGAAAACAATAGAGATGGTCCCTCCCTCTGGGTCATTCCTTTCTCAATATTTCACTAAAAAAATATACCTATCTAAATAGCTTTATAAAGAATATTTTTAATAAAAAGATATGGGTGGTTGTCGCTCCATCACCTCCCTACCCCACAGTACTTTTTGCATCCGCCTAAGAAATTGCTTCCCGCCGTCGTGATCAGCTTGCGCATGGAAGAAAAACAATCAATGTATCGTTTGAAGAATTAAAAGGAAAAGGCACTTTCTTTGCGCGTGAATTGTCAAGGCAGAAAGGCCTAGAAAAACTCTGCGAGATATTTGAAAGCTAATATAAACTTTGCGTATTGTACGATCAATACGACAATCTGACAATCTGGTCAATGCGACAATGCAACGGTTCCGTGCATCGTGATCAAAAATAATCATGTAAAGCGTGTCGGTTGTTTGTTAATATACTATACTTAACATCTTCGAAAATAAGAAAGGTATTATTCAGACTTTAATTATAGTTCTATCATTGAGATTAATCGGATCAATGTAATGTTTTTTGCAATAATCACTGAACTAGTGGCTAGGAGCGATTTGCGTAGGGTGCCTCACGCGCTAGCTTGATCAGATTATTACAGATTTCCAATAAATATGGTATTTGCAGCTTATTTACTGGAAACTGCAATTTTGGTGTTGTCCCGGGTGGGTAATTTGCACCCTATTTTTAATACCCACCGTGGGGTTTTGGTTTGAACGCCCGGCCCCACCGTGGGGCATTTGTAGCTTTTCCATAACAAAATGACAAATGCCCGACAAATACCCGAAGGGGGATGTGCACGCTTGGAATTGACTGAGCCGATGATACTTCTGTGCTCTGCTTTTGTGCGGTCGTCGCGAGTCAAAATAATTCGCCGATCAAATTCGGATCGAGCTGCAGGAGTTGAGAAAACACGCTTAATCAAGCATAGTATGGTGACTGATACACAAGCAAGGAGAATAATCACAGTCTCAAATATTGATCAGGTAATGTTTTTCTTAATTATGTTAACGCATTGTTTCTTTCCGGCCACAATACAGCTGGGAAAATGCAACGTTCGTATGACTCAAAATTCAATCGACCTTGCTAAGCCACTCTCTAACAAAATACTTTGTTCGACCCCAAGTTGTGACACGAGAGTTGTCTCTTCCTGTGCCTCGTTCAATCCATTGGATATATAAAAAAAGGCATTAAGGCATTCGTGTACCATTCCCACCGATGGCATTAATTCCACTAGCGAGGATTCGGACCTGGTCGTACAAAGGTTACTATGACTCGAGAAAAATGAAAAAAATTCTTTGAAAATGTTATAAATGGATTGTGTTTGCCCTATACCTAAAAATAATTAAAGGAAAATAAAACTAAAAAATCAACAAGAACTGAATTGCAGTACAGTCGAACCTCTCCAATACGGACACCTCTATTACGGACAGTTTCCAAACACGGACTGAACGGACACTAAATCTCGGCCCCAGGGAGTAAATTCAAATAAACTTAACCTCTTTATTACGGACACTGTGGTGATCAGGTAAATCCCGAATCCCGATCAGGTGAATCTGCACAGGGAAAATCCCGACTAGTCTGATGAGACAGGCAGGGTGATATAAAGCCCAGTCGCTGTGAAACAACGATTTGTGAAAGGTGTACAGAGGAGCATAACCGACTTTTTGAAGGCTTCAATCAGTGTTCAATAACCACAGATAGCATAAAGATCTTTTCTATCACATTTTGTACTCTAGTTACTGTTTACTGCACTTGCAAAATAGCGAAAGAAGCTTTCAGAATTGTGCTTTACGTTACAACTTTTTACATGCAGCTTTGCGCTGTAGCTTGTTTCGTTTTAAAACAGTGATTTGTCTATAGCTGAGATGTACAATGTTGTATGCTACTGAAAGACAGTGTCTTTGTACTGTCAATTAACAACTTTAAATGCAGCTAGTTTAAAGACGAGTGGTAGCCTGGTTTTAGCTACTGAACGCTTAAAACTGGAAGTGGAGTCATTAAAGTGACGTCATCATAGTGACCTCTTTTATACGGACACCTCTGTAATACGGACCCTTCGCTCTGTCCCTTCGATGTCCCTATTAGTCGGGTTCGACTGTAATTGTGTCGGACTAAGAATTAATGATGGTCGACCATGGTTTGGCTTGGCCTTAACTCAATGCATTTCTAATAATTTATTCGAAAAAATAAAATTATTATGTGCTGTTATGTGCTTTCACTGACTTAGTAAAAAGCAGTAATTTACTTTGTTACCATTATGGTTGGCAATATACCATGGTCAAGGGCTGATAACACACCATGGTCACACAACACGGTCGAGCCATGGCCGACCATGTTCAAACATGGTGCCATGGTCTACGTCTTGCCGGGGTGAGCCGGCCAGCTGTCGGTGTGAAATCACAGGCGGCCCAAGCTCAATATGAGAGTACTTGCGGTTGCGTAATTTTCAAAATGACCGTCATTATAAAGGATTTGTATGGGAATTCAGGTAATAGATTCGAGAAGATAAATACTCGATGAATTTTCAATAAAATACGCTTTGCCTTGTTTACTTGGTGTCTTCCTGCTTCCTGTGTGGTTATTTTCCCGATCCGTTGCGATTTAAGCGATTTCCTTTATCCCGAGCTTTCACTAATAAAGAGAGGACAAGGCCAAACACACGCAATATGGACAGCCCGCCGAAAGAAGCCAAAAATTTCAGGTCAAATTTTCCCCACGGCCAAAATTCCACCGTAGAATCCCACTGCAAAGGTTTAACTTTCATTTTAGCTCCCTAGCCAAGCAATCGCGTCCCTGCGAGCGAAGCCAAACGGCAGTTTGTTTCCCCGATTAAACGGTCCAACGCTGGTAGAAATCCGCGTCCAAAACCAACACGACAAGTACGATGACCGTTGAAATCGGCTTGGTAACCACGCCACGTTGCCGAACAAAGATTCACCGGGTACACGTTATGTTTCCGATCCGTTGCGATTTAAACGATTTCCTTTATCTTGAGTTTCCACAAAGAAAGAAAATTGTTATGGCAGCAAACAATAGCGGATTGAATTCAACCTTGTTACAGTGAAGAGCGAAGGGAAAGAAGGGAGGGGGTAACAATTAACAGGCCATGCAAAGCTAGCGAAGAGGATTCGTGTGGAAAATTTATGCAGCATCTGGATACTTGTTTACGGATATCTGAAGCTGACAAAGTTTTGTGTCATCTTATTATGTTTTAACCGTCTTTTCACACTGGATCCACAAAATGAAATACAGCTGCTATCAACGGATTCTTTTGTTATTCGTGGCTGGCTTGTTTATTGGG